CCTTCTTGGGCTTTCCTTGGTGAAATGCTCAACTGATGCAGTAAGAAGATTGGTTGCTGCTATCAAGCACAAGACTCTGAAGGAACTGGTATTAAAAATAGGTGAAATCAACCTGACGTCAGCGGTAGTCGAGGCGCTCTGTCAGTCGCTGTCTGAATTATCAGCTTTAGAAACACTGTTTCTAGTTGTCTCGGATGGATACAGTTTGTTTGCATATGATCTAGTTGTTCTAGATTACAGCCTGGAGATACTTGGCTTGACTAATTCCTCTGCTGAAGCAATAAGAAGATTGATTGATGTTTTTAATCACAATTTTCTTAGGGAACTGAAACTGGAAGAAATCAACCTGACGCCTGCAATAGCCGAGGTGCTCGTTCAGTTGCTGCCTAAATTATCAGCCTTGGGAACACTGAAGATAAGTAGCTTGACGGAGTGCTCTGATGAAGCGGTAACAAGATTGATTGACAGTATTAACCACAAGACTCTTAAGGGACTGGAACTGAGTAAAATGAACCTGACGTCAGCAGTAGCCGAGTCGCTCGGTCGGTCGCTGCCTGAATTATCAGCCTTAGAAACACTGTTGTTAAGTGGTTCGGATGGATGCAATTTACAACAAAAGGAAATGGAGGCGCTGTTTGGCAGATTTAGTAGACCTTCTTCGTTGAGGAGGTTGTCCATTACTTGTTTCAGTGCGAGAGGAAGTCTTGCTTCACTTGCGAAAAAACTGTGCTTCTTCCCCTGCTTAGAATCGTTACAACTTGAAGACTTAGATATGGGTGAAGCTGACTTCCGTAGTTTTCTCGAGAATTTGAAATACATTCCTGATCTTCGAGGTTTGTACCTGATGGACAATCCACTTAGTCAGGCGGTACGATTAATGACCCCATACTTGCTTCAACAGAAAAAGCTTGAAGAGGTTTGGTTTCGACAAGGAGATGCTTCAGAAGAAGATCTGAATTATGTTCAGAAGGCAGTCAAAGAAAAACGACCTCGGCTGAGCATTCAAGTACGTAATCCTGGTGACAGTATTTCATTCCGACTCTGAATTCTGAAGTTCTGAATTCATGTTTAGTTTTGGACGGGTGAAAAAATTAATTATTTACTCCGTGTGAATAGAAACTAAAAGTCGTTAAAACTTCCAAAGTTGAGCGTTAAAATTTATTTAAATCAACACAGAAACTCTTCAGTGGTTGCTGTGAATAATTCAGTATTGAATTCTAAGATTGAGGGGAGGACCGCGGTATTTTTTATGGGAGGAGTCCAAACATGTGAACAGCGTTGAAGCCGTAAAATCAATCCTCTCTGGCCGTTACACGTGCATTTTCTCAGTAAACTTCAACTGCGTAGGTCCATATATACCATCCTTCAGTGGCGATAATTACAGTTTCAAAGTACCTATAAATTTTTTCAGTACACAATTCTCTAGTCTCATGGGATCATTTGATCCTGTCCCATGTGATTTACGGCTTTCCAATCGATGCTCGTGAGGGATCATTTGCTTCTCTTGCAAAAATGTGTAAAAGATTTCTCCCCCCTCCTCACAGGAGCCTCGATTGGAACTGATGAAATTGTGGTCTTTGATAAGCTGTTGTAAAATACAATTGAATAACTAAAGGATTAAAGGATGTATTGTTTGAATTCCATTTCCATCGACAGAATTTTGTAAAGAAACCCAGTTTTGCACATAGTAGTTTCTTTGTCTTTGCATCTGCATCATTCATTGGTGTCGATTTCACCACGACCCAGCGATGAGCTGATGAGTAAGGGGATGTTCTGATATCAGTTGAAACCTTCTTATGTCACTAAGGGCCTGTTTACATGGAGTGGGGGACTCCGGTCTAGTGGGGTTGGTTTCTTTTGTTTTCGCGCTCTGGGGGACACAAAACAAAAGAAACCTACCCCACTAGACGGGCGTCCCCCACTCCATGTAAACAGGGTCTAAGACGGTGGTGGCTACAGTGAAAAACGAGTTACTCGCAATTAATGTTGTGCGTTTTACCACCCACAAATCAGCAAACCTGGCTTGCAACAAATCAGGTTGTTGCAGAAAGTACAGAGTACAAAGTTTGTACGAGCGTTTTCCCGACCGCAGGGCAAACTTGTTTCGTAACGTAACGCGCGAGTTAGGCGTAACTCCCGAGTTATTTTGTCCAATCGGAAGTCAGTATCCACAGTACACAACTTACAGAAACCTGATTTGTTGCAAGACAGGTTTGAATCGTGAGTAGTAAAATGCACAACATCACTTAAATTCAGATCATTTCGCAACAATGTTGGAAAACAGGTTCCACGTTGTTGTTGCCCGTTTTACCGTAGCAAGGCCAAGTTCTTCCAGCTCCCACCTAGTCCATTGTGTCATCTCGTCTGGGAATCGTGACCTGACGGATTTACACCTCCCCCTCGCGTGTCTCCCTCGCGCGCGCCCGTTCTCTCTTTCGCCTACTACTTCCAAGCGCCTACTCCGCAGGCTACACCTGAGGGAACGTAGACAACGTACTGCTGGAAAATTTAATAGGGCTGTGTGACACGTTAAGGGCTTAAAATGTGTGATTTTCATCCTGAACTTTGATTATAGCCGTCACTCCATGGTTAAGCTCGTTTTTATACCTGGGAATTAGAAAATCCTGGCTATGGTGATCGACTGTGAGTTTTTTCCCTTAAGATTTTTCAGGGCCATCAATGATTTTTAGCGGATTTTTTTTATAATTGTTACACAAAATGCTGCAAGTTTCGAATTAAAATTTTCATTTTCTTAACCCTTAACAAGTTGTACTCAAGCAGAAGCTTTGCTTTTTGTTTCTATAAAAAGTATTTGAGGTGCGTGACCTTATGGTCAACCATCTCTCTTGCGTGACTTGGCGTTGTTGACAAATTACCCTTCCCACTCCACCCGTCCGTTGGCTTCGTCACACTGAGTCAGTTTCACTTTCGATCAGACTTCTGTTGTTTCCGCGCTGCGTCTCTCTTGAGATTTTTTAAAATAAGGTTGCTTGCGTCCAAAGTGAACGTTAAACTATCTAAGCATTTGAAGTTTACAAAAAAAAGGTTTTGAGACTGTTAGTAAAGGCTTTTCATTTCTTTTGGAAAAGTTCGGCTGTGGTTGTACACAACGGAGCCGAGGACAGTGGAACAAAGGTGAGCAAATGTTTGATTTATTTTGCCTTTAATTTCATGTTTAAAATCTCGTTCATAGTTCTACGTATAGTTAATGTACACACCGAATATTTTATCTTCACAAGCGATGAAAAATGTTAGCGGATTAATGACCATCATTACTATGGAGGACCATCACGCGTTGAACAGACCGCCATGTTTACGCGGCCAGCGAATTTGAAAAAGTGAAGAAGCTTTATAATGTGGTTTGCACAGGAACATTGTGAAAAAATATAGCCTTAAATGTTGCAAACAGCTCGTTAAATTTCTTTCGTAATTTCTACCTTGATTTTATCGTAGTTTTCTGAGGTAAAAAGGATCGGTTCGAGTTCCCGACTTGAAGAATGTGATGAAGGAATTATGTGATGGCTCAGTCAATAGGCTCTTTGCATGACTTGACCACGTAACCAACTTTCGGAAAACACGAAAACAGTTCACTTTTGAAAAATTTTGTTAGCACAAGCTGAAAGAGCGTATTAAAATTAGGAAACTTGAGAATTTTCAGCCGTATATCTCAAAAGCAGCGATTGCAACGGCCCCCGAAAGTTGGAAGCATGTGAATGAGATAAACAACTTTTGCAGTCACGCTTGCATGGTTTTCCATACAAATCCTTGTAAATTCGTTAAATCTTTCCTTTACGCATTTAAGGGCTCAAATTGCCTTTAAAGGAGATTTGAGCTCCATAATGCTTAAGGCACAAGGCAGCTACCTATTTTTGTCTTGAAATCATCCGAGAACTTGATTTGTTTGGAAGTTTACCAGTTCCCAGTCTCCGCTGCATAGCATCCTATCCAGCAATGTAAAATTGCGGCCAAAATTTTTTATCTGAGAATTTTGTTTGCGCTAAGAAAGTGAAAATCTATGATTCTTTCTGAACGTGCTTTTAAAGAAAGTGGCAATAAACTTGAATAATTAAACAAGACTTACCTGTAAGTTGAAGTTTGATTGAGATTCTACCGTAGCATTTGCAGAAATGAAGAGATCACATCCCTCCCTTCCCCTTCCCCTGTTCATATCATCCTATGGTGTTGCATACACCATATATTTACTATTCATCTATAGGGTGGTCTACAGGACTCCTCAAAAAAAAAAAAAATATGCTTTCAAGACTGAGCTCGAAGTCACGTGACTTGCTATCTCATGTGATCTCTTCATTTCTGCAAATGCTACGGTAGAATCTCAATCAAACTTCAACTTACAGGTAAGTCTCGTTTAATTATTCAATTCTACCTCGCATTTGCATACATTCTGAGATCACATGAGATTTTAGAGCTCTATAGGGCTCTCAAAAAATAAAGAATACACATTCCAGATAAGGAAACGTAAGCATGGCATTTATTACCAAGGCACTAATTCTTTCCCAGTACACTGTTGGCAAAGGAACTATCATTTAACAGTGGTTTGTTATAATAAACAGCAAACACAGAGCTTGAACGCCAGCCAGCTGTGGTCATAATTTCATCTAGAGGAACATCAGCTGACTTTGCAGCAGAAGTGGCTGCACTTCTGGTGGAGTGAGGCTTAAAAACAGAAGTATTAATTCCAGCGTCAAGCATAACTTGTTTGAGCCACCTAGAAATAGTGTCTTTAGAAGCAGGCCCATGAGGCTTGCAGTGGCAAATCAGGAGTTGAGAACATGAACCCCTTAAGTTAGAAGTTCTAATAAGATACTCTTGTAACAATGTAAAAACATAAAGAGTTTTATCATGGTCATATTTCTTCAACACAATAGGTGGCAGGTGTCTTTGCCTGCCACCATGAGCACTTGTTTGCTTTAGAATGGAAGTAATTTGAAAACATATTCTCCATCTTTAGATTGCATGTCATTGATTGACAGCAACTTAAGAGTCTGTGTTCGTTGTGCAGTAACCAAGGCCAAAATCATAGTCAGTTTCAAAGTCAATTGCTTCAGAGACATTTCCTTGGTGTCAGGATAGCCCTTGAGGTGGCTGAGAACAATTTGGGGGTTCCATGTTTCCACATATCTGGGAAAAGTTGGTTTCCTGTTGAAAGCACCCGACATAAAACGTGAAATAATAGGGGTGTTCTCCTACTTTGAAGCCATCAATATTGATGAATGAGGAAAGAGCACTTCTAGTGGTCCCTAGAGCACTGTAGCTAAGCTTTTTGGACTGAAGAGTTAGAAAGTCCAACAGTTGTGGTAATGAAGGTGTTGTAATGCTGATCTTCTGTTCTTTACAGTAAGTTATCCAAGCTGATATGCTGGATCTGTATTGCTTCTGGGTACTTTTCTCCAAGAATCAATAATAATGTTCAAAGTTTCACCAGTTATTCCTTGCAGCTGGAGGGATTTCCTGACACAAGACAGCCAATCAGTCGGAGCTTGGGGTAGAGGGGATGGACGTTCTTGACATCGTGGGGAAGGGTCAGGGTTGACTTCTGCAGCTTTATTGATTGTAGAGGCGCCACTAGCATTGACATTACTCGTGGGTACCAAAACTGTGTTGGCCAGTCGGGGAGAACTAGGATTGCTGTTGTCTCGGAGAATATTATCTTCTGAAGTACTTTCCCAATAACACTGAAAGGTGGGAAGCAGTAAACAAGTTTAAACACAGACCAGTCAAGTGTAAAGGCATCAATAAAATGGGCACATGGGTCAGGTTTCCATGCTGCGTAGCAGGGCAGTTTTGCATTCAACCGTGATGCAAAAAGATCAATCTCAGGATTACCCCATTTAGTAATTAAGCTGTTATAAACATGAGTGTCTAATGACCATTCCGTGTCATCATGAAAATGTCTACTTGCTAGGTCAGCTTCAACATTAAGTTTTCCAGGTAAATGGGTGACAGCTAAGGATATGCCCCTGTCTTTGCACCACAGAAGAGTTTCTCTTGCAATCTCATTACAGTCCGAGAGTGAGTGCCACCCATATTTCTCAAGTAGGAAACCGCTGTTTGGTTATCAGACAATACTTTGATGTTACAGTTTGTTAAGTCTGAGCACAAGGACTGAAGGCCAAACAGGACTGCTTTTATCTCCAAATAGTTTATGTGGCACATACTCTCACTGTGGGACCATCGCCCATTGGCGGCAAGGGAAGAATTTTCAATAACACTTCCCCATCCTTCTAGAGAGCTATCACATTTAAGGGTTAATTTGTATTTCATAGGCCGGACAGAGCATGGATCATTGTCAATATTTGAAAGCCACCAAGACATGTCTTTCTTAGCTATATCAGAGATGAGCATTCTGTCATCTAAGTTCCACCCATTCGTCTTTAAAGCATCAGTTTTGTCATTTTCAAGAGCACGGTAATACAGTGGGCCATATTTGACTCCAGGAAAACATGACACCATTTGCCCAACTACAGATGCAACCTCTCGAATAAGAGGCTGCTCCGTTCTGAGGAGCTGTAAAATGGCTGATTTCGCTTTATCAGCCTTGTCCGATTTCATAGAGACTGTCATCACAACCGAGTCTAAAATGAAACCCAGGAAATTGACTCTCTGGGATGGGACAAGTTGGGATTTATCAGAATGGATGGTGAATCCCAGAGACTGCAACAATGTAATAGCCCTTTGTATAAATATGACCAATGTCTGAGGGTCATCGGCAAAAAGTATAATGTCATCAATGTAAATTACTAGAAGCACCCCCTCCTCCCTTAATTTGGCAAGGGCAGGTTTTAACAATTTGGTAAAAATTCTGGGTGCACTAGAGAGGCCATTAGGAAGGCAAACAAATTCATAAAGTTGGCCTTCGTGTTCTAAACGAAGGTATTTTCTGTCCTCAGTCCTAATAGGAACAGAGTAGTATCGTCTTTTAGGTCTAAGACAGCCATCCAACAATTAGGCTTCATAAGTTGAAGTGCGTGAGGCAGTGAATCCATCTTGAAGTGATGGTACTCAATATGCTCATTTAGCTTTTTCAAGTTCAAAATAAGACGGTGAGACCCATCTTTTTGGGCCTGGTGAAAATTGTTGAGATAAATTCACCAGGAACATGAGTAGCTTTCCTAATGACCCCTTTAGTTAAAAGCTTGTTAATTTCAGTAGTAGCAATATCTGTCTCTTTACAAGAAAGTTTGACAGCTCTAGGGGTGAGCGCCTGGCAAGGAGGGTTGCAAAACTCTAGTTGGTAACCCTTAACGATGCGTAAAATGTAGGGGTCAGGCGTGAGCGTCTGCCAAGCACTGAAATGCTTAGCTATGTTTCCAGCAATATATACATTGGTACAAAAAGCGAACATATACTTACTGTGCTAGTAGCTGGCAGCAAGTGTTCTATTGGCTTGTCCGGGTTGTCTTGTCCCGGTTGGCATTGTTCTTGGATTTCCAAGGTTTGAAGTTGTTGCCTCTCCAGTTTTTTTTGACTGCTTATAGCCATTATAGCTGTTATTGCCAGGTCTTCCTGGAGAAGGGCGATGCCCTTTATAATTAGGGGTGATCTTGGCCCCGATTTTGTTTTGATCGCCAATATCTTTCAAATGCTTTTGTAGATCATCTCCAAAGAGAAAATCTGTAAATGGCAATTGGGAGGAGCAGAGAGCTGAGTATTCCCTCCCAATATCTGGTCTCAGTAGAAGACGGCGCTGCATGTTTATTTCATAAGAGGCATGAGTGAGGAGGGACATGGCCTCCAGCCCCTGTTTCTTTAGGTCTTGGCATTCATCAGCATTAAGCGATTTTGCCTGCATAAGCTTGTCCGTGATTCGGACAACTGGCAGGATGCCTTTTGTGAGGGCTTGTTGTATTTTGAAAAATTGTAAATCCCTCTTCTTAGTTGGCTCTCTCAGTCGACGCCAAATGCCCGGTTTACCTTGGGAGGCTTGGCTGTAGTACAATTAGCCGGTCTCTCCTGCCTCTCAAGCCGGTCTTTGAGATTTTTCTCGCTTAGTTTGCAGCGGAACATTTTGTCAACTAGCTTGGCTAGTTTCTCATTTTCGAGGCTTTCGCCCACGATATCGTCAGACTCGTATTCTTTTTACGAGTTCGAGAGGAAATCATCCTCATCACCACTACGAGTGGTGTTTTGCTCTGACTCATCACTGTTGTTGTTTAACACAGAGTCATAGAGTTTCTCGCAGTCAGTTGACTGGTTGAGGCGCTCGTGGAGCTTCTCGCCTCGCCATCTTTGTTTTTTGCTTTTTGGCGGGAACAGCGTTTGGAGATTTGCTCGCCGCGTTTCCCTTTGTCTTTTGTCTCTCCCCGCGGCGAATTGATGAGTTCTGGCAGGCTTTTCGTCAGGCCTAGAATTGCGTGGGTGAGTTGGCTAATTTCTTCCGAAGAAGCGGCTGTTTTGTCCTGGAGTTGTCGTGAAGCGTGTGCAGGCAGGCGTTGCGTATGTCGGGTAGCGAATCCTTGTTTATCTGGTCTTCTTCGCCCTCGTCCTCAATTTCGTCGGCGAGGAGATCGTCCTCAGATTGTTTTGACATCGCTAATATCTTCGGCTTGAGGCTCTGAACGAGAAATGGATGAAATTTCTGAAAATTTTGTGGGAGCGACTAGTGCTCCAAGCGACCTTGCCCGAAATCAAACTCGCAATGAGCTCGAAGTCACGTGACTTGCTATCTCATGTGATCTCAGAATGTATGCAAATGCGAGGTAGAATTGTTAAAGAGTTTCTTAGCACTCTTGAATCTGCGCCCTATTCTGCTCTGGGGGCAGTTGGATTTGACTGATGTATAAGCATATCAATTTTTGTAGGACACGCAGTATGCAGTATTTGTATGCTCGTTTTGGCTTTTGCATGTGTTCCTCCCTCCTTTCAGAGAGAAGGGGAGCTACAATGAGGGACAAAAGTGTTGAGACACTTCTGTAAAATGACCCCTTTTTCCACAGTGAACATGTACCTATCCCCTCCTCCTGTGTTCCACCACCCTCTCTGCCTAAAATCAAGGTGGTATTTTAGACCCTCAAGTCTTTCTTTTACTTCAGACAACATTGATTCAGGGGTGGGGAGATTGATGACATTTAAAAAGAATGAAATAATTAATGAATTAAAGAAATTGTTGATTAAAGCACCCATTTTAAACAAGCGTGTCAACTACTTTTGTCCCTGAAAATATGAATCTATGTTTTCCAGCTTGAGTTTTGACGCAGCTGAATTTAGGCATGATGAAGTTTCTCTAGTATGGGCAAAATTGTTTGTTTATAAACAAAAAATTTGTACATTTTCATCCTGATTTCTAGTTTACATAAATAAATCTGAAATAATCTGAATAATTGAAGATCATCCTTTGATCAACAGCAATTGTTGCAACCAAAATTTTGTCAGAAAAACAAACATACAGAGTCTCGATCAGTATTGATAACTTTCAATATGAGAGAGCAAAATTGAAATGAATTCTGATAGTTATAGTCAAATAACATCATCGCAAAGATATATGTTTACTGATGTTTTCTACTTGTAAAAGAATCATTCTGTAACTTGCTTAACTAGCTAGGGTTGACAGTAAAACCCTTCCCAATCTACCGTTGAGAAATTTTTAATAATAGAAGAGTTTCATTAAGGCTAAGTAATTAGCAGTTTTCACTTTCTAGTTTTTAGTTGGATGTCAAGTGTTCAGTGGTTGTTGTTGAGAGCACTTACATGTACATGTAAAGTGTACCTCATCCAGGGTGCAAAGAAAGCCAGTTTTACAGCCTGCCATTCGGGCAAGCAGTAGCCTATACATGTACTAGCCCACAAGTCATTTCAACTAGCCCCAAAACCCTGTTTGATTAGCAGGATTGATTACAATCCTTCCATAATTTGAATTTCCGCAGAATACAGCACTTGCCCGTTGGGCAAGTTAAGAACCAAAATTACTAGCCCGATAGCAAAATGCACAGTTAGCCCTGGCCTATCGGACATGACTTTCTTTTGCACGCTGACCTCATCCTTAAACCACTTCTGTCACTTTTGCCCACTCCCCTCTCTCCTCTCTGATTTCTAGTTTACATACAATAAAATGTACGAAGTGTATGTTATTACTTAACCTTGTACTCCCACAGGCATCTCTGATACCCTGTCAGGTTGAGAGGAAATCACTTGTGTTGTGGTCACTACCAATAACATAATAACATAAATATTAACATAATTACATGTATGTCATTGATTCCTGTAATTTTACTTAACAATTATCATTGTCATACAGGATTTCACTTGTGTGCAGTAGCACAATTTTGCATTCAGACAATGAGGGATAAAAGTGTTGAGACATTTCTGTAAAATGGCCTCTTTTTCCATAGTGGACATACCTGTGCCCTTCCTCTGTGTACCCCCACCCCTTCCCCCCAAAGCTGATGCTGTATTTTAGACCCTTAAGTCTTTCTTTTACTTTAGACAACATTGATTTAGGGGTTGGGGGGGGGGGTTTGGTGTTAAAAAAGAATGTAATATTAAAGGAATGAAATTGTTGGTAAAAGAACATGTTTTAAACAAGTATTTTAACTACTTTTGTCCCTGATTGTAGCTTTTCCAGTTTGTTCTGTCCGTGTTTACAATCTAGTGAAAAATAGCATTCTCGAGTCCCTTTTCACCCTTCCACCACCTCCCAAATTAAGGGTAAAAACAACTTAGGTACATTTTGGCCCTTGATCAGGTTCCTTCTCGATTTCAGAGTGAACAGGGGCTTGCTTTTCAATTTTATTTTCTCATTGCACTTTTTGATCATGCAGATATGTCCATAATGGGACATACTACACATGATGTCATTTGCAACTGAATCCTTCAGCCTGCTGTTTTCTCAAGTCAATTTAAATGCGTTTCGATTTTAACACCTCACTGGTTTTTATCCTCTCTACCTGCATGCATCGTTTTTGTGCCCATTTCTATTAATTTGCTGGTTTGTCAACAAAACTGTTGCATATCACCAGAAGTCGTGACTTGCTGCGCCCTCCCTTCGCAAAAACTACCAAATACCAAGGTAGCTTCAGAATAAACGGTGCTCAGACCTACAACACCCTACCGAGAATCATTAGACAAGTAGAGACCCTCAGTGAATTCAAAATCAAGCTAAAGCGCCACTTTAAACAGTAACACCTGCATTACATGTTGTCGTAACTTCATTAATTGTCTAATTTTAATGTTTTAATGTCTTTGTTTTTGTGTTTTGTCAGGGCTCCATTTAAACTAGCTCTGCTAAATTGGATGCCCCTGGATGAACATTGAATTAAAAAAATATATATATATATCAAGAATTGCTTTCTGTGGTAAAGCTACTAGCAAGTTTGCATGAGTAACCAGGACAATGATGATGGAAATGTAACAGACTTTAAGGTTTAAAAATCAAAACAAAAACTTCAAACTTAATGCAGCAGATTTTTTGGCAGATTTATATGCCATCCTTGCATGACTAGCATTGTTAAACTTGATTGGAATGGCAATGCGATCATTGTTTTATAAATGTGACTAACTGAAGATCATCCTTTCATCAACAGCAATAATTGCTGCAACCATAATTTTGTCAGAAAAAAAAATGATATAGAGTCTCAGTATTAGTAGTTAAAATAATCAAACACATCATCAAAAATATATATTTTTACAACAGTTAAAACTGGAAAAACTAAAAAATGTTAAAACTGATGTTGCCTTCTTGTAAAAGAATCATTCTGTACCTTGCTCAACTTTTTTACTAAGAGTTGACAATAAACCCATTCCCAATCTACCCTTGAGAAAAGGCAGGTACAAAGGTCGGACCGGATCAACTCTGACCGCCAGTCCGGGTCGGATCAACTCGGAGCGACTCGGACCAACTCGGATCGCATAAAAAAATAAAAATAAAATAAAATTGGACTCGGATCAACTCGGAGCAATCAAAAAAATTAAATTAAATCAGCAAAACTGAAAGTTTCACCCATTTGGAAGGTAGAAAAGGCCAGATCATCTTTTTTTTCTCCGTGGCTTTTAGGCGCCATTTTGTTTTACTACTGCCGGTTCCTCTCGGATCATGTTATAAATTGCGTTACACGGCGCGCTCTGCTTCACAGATATGGGTGACCTCGAGGAAGGTAAAACCTCAACCATCTTTCTCAATGAATTTGCTTCATTCCAAGAAAATGATAGTTTCAGTCACCTAGAATATATAATTATATTTGCTTATTTTTTTATTTTATTGCAGCTTTTTGTCACAAAGCAAAGAAGTTGCGGTGAGCGTGATCATAAGTTATGTGCATAAGTGTACTGAATTATTTATGAGAAATTATTATGGGTATGTGCCGCCGGGACTCCAAATTGGCACCCCGTTCTGAAAAAAATTCCCCTAAAATTTATACCCCGTTCTAGAATTCGCCCTAAAACTGATACCCTGTTCTAGAAATGGGCCAATTCTAGGGTGCAACAAGAGTACATCTGTCCTTGAATAATTTCAAATGGCTGCTTATAAAACTGGAGCTTTCGTGCGT